CGTCCTCCGCGGTGCGTCGCGCGTCTTTGTCGTCGACCGCGTTCCCGAGCGTCTTCAGGCTGCTGAGAAGATTGGCTGCACACCGATTGACTTCACCAAGGGTGATGCAGTTGACTTGATCATCCAGAGCAACGGTGGAGAGGAGGTTGATCGATCGGTGGATGCTGTTGGATATCAGGCTGTCGGCAAGAGCGGCAATACTGAACAGCCCAATATTGTGCTTGAGAACATGATCCGCGTGACGAGGGCTTGCGGTGGTCTCGGTATTCCAGGACTCTACGTCCCCAGGTAAGTCATCTTGTCTGCTGTCATCACAACAGGTGGCTAACAAGGTCAAGCGATCCTGGTGCTTCAGACGAGGCCTCTGCCAAGGGCATGATTAGCCTAAGCTTTGGCAAGCTCTTCGAGAAGGTCGGTATTCCCAATGTCCTCATCTATTATACAACTAACCCTCCAGTAGGGCCTCTCCCTTGGAACTGGCCAGTGCAATGTCAAGTCTTACAACCGCTACCTGCGTGACCTGATCATCGCTGGCCGAGCTAAGCCTAGCTTCGTTGTATCACACGAGATCAACATTGATGACGCCGAAGTGGCGTATGAAAAGTTTGATAAGCGTATTGATGGGTACACCAAGGTGCTCATCCACCCCAATGGTGGCTTCTAAGGTGTGTTTCGGGGTAGGTGTCGAGGTGTTTAGCGCGGCGCGTGGATGAAGAATGAAAAACGGGTCGGTCAGGCGGTTGAGGAGTTGAATATGAGCGACGATATGAGTCTAGCTTTTCAGAATGATTGACGAAAAAAGGATGAAACTTTATAGGAGGTTTCCTGGGTGACCAAGTTGTGTATTCCGAAAACCGTTGAGCCTGCTTTGTGTTAGCCTTCTGTCAAGACGATATAGTTCATGAAATGGATCTTGGCATATGTAGAAAGTATCTTATCGGGTCACGCGTGTTCTGCTTTCCAGAGTCCCGACCTCATTGTCCATGTTATTCGCCAGTTGTTCAGACCTCGAGACCCAACAAGCTGGGAAACAAAGACGAGAGACTTCCGCACAAGACTTCAAAGTTGTGTTGATGTTGTTCTAGACATCTGATCGCAGACAAAACGCTGCCTTGGTGATAGTAAAAGGTAGCGGTAGTCGATCTCCAGCTTCAAGAGCATCAATCGATAACCCCTCGAGCATTTCTGGCATGAAAGCCAAGGCGGTTTTGACGAAGCTGGCTCGGTCTGTTCTTCTTCATGACCATTGCTCACCTAATTGGAACTGGACCTGAGAGACTTTGACGAAAAGGGGTGGCAAGCAATGTGCCATGCCTTGGTTTGAAATTGTTCACCACATTCCACCAACATCTTAGGACTTCACGTGAAGGCATGATGCGCGACCGTTTTTCGCTTGTTATCGGTTCGTCATTGCTTATCGGGCTGTGCATTGTTGCTGCCCATTGTTGTTCTCATCACGCTATTGTCGACCTTAACGGGGCTATTGTTGTTCTTGTTGTCCCGTTTATTGACCATATCGGGGGATTTATCGCACTGACCTGATGACCCGGATGGGTAAAATAAAGTAGCGGCTCGACTGCTGCATTGTTCGTCAAGCTTTTCGTTTGCATCTCGCAAGTCATCACGCGCAACGACACGTTCGAGGGAATCTGAAGCTTCTGGCGATCATCCTTTCCCAACAAACGCTTATGCCTGAATAGAAATCAACCCGAACGCTCCCGCCGCAGCAACCAAACGCGCTCCTCGATTTGAAATTTCCCTCAGGTATAAAGCTGGCTGGTACCGTCCTTTGATTCTTCTTCTCTTCTTCCCCATCGGACATCTGGCTCGCATAGGGGTTCTTCCTGGACCGTACTGGCACGCTCGGTCTCTCGACTGCCAAGCGATCTCATCACCTCAAGAGCGCTCTGTCTCATTCATCCTGCTACGCTTTCATCTCATCATTTTCCCCCTTCGACTGCCGTCCCGACTGCCCTCCTGCAGCGACTGAAAGGATCTTCGTCGACCTTAATGCCCTCCCTCATCGGATCCGACGAGCTTGCGTATCTGTCTAGCCGCCTTCAGAGTCTGGCTCCCGGTGCTACTTAGCCGTAGTGCTTCTCTCGACCCAAACCCCTGGCTTCTGAACCATCGCCGTCATGTTCCCTGCTAAGGCATCCCTCGTGTTGCAACCATGGACGTTGGACCAGGCCCTAGGCGACGCCCTGGCTTTCAAGCCCACCTGGCGCAAGCCAAAAAAGCCAAAGGTATTCCTTCCTCGAGCTATTCGCCCTGGGGAGCCTCTGGAGTCTCTTAACAGCGGCCGTCGCCATGTCGTTATTGTCATGGACAGCAACGGGTACAACGCTGTTATCAAACTGCCGCGACAAGGGACAAACCCGTTCCTCAAAACGGAGGGTCAAATTCAAAAGATCGTCAGACAAAGATTCCTCCAATACAACTGCGAGATCCGCATCCCGAGGATCATCTATTACGACGATCGTTGGCACCCAAAGGACTGCCTGGGAGCACCGCGCGGGCTGTTTCATGCACACAACGCATTATGTATGGAACGGATTCCTTCCCTATCCTCACGAGCCCGATCACTTCTGGTAGAGAAGCTCATACCTGAAAACGAGCGACAGGCCGTCCGGGCCAACCCGTTGAACAAAAAACTACTCGCGCGAGTATATCTGGGCAAGAGCGATTATGTCAATTCCACTCGACGTCTGTACCAGAACGCAGAAACCTTCACTCTCTGTGACGTGGTCATGAGCGTTCAAGACATGTCTGACATTGGACTGGATCTTGACAGGATCGCTGGTGAGATGGGGAGAGCCCTGGCCATTATCCATTGGTCCGCGATACTTGACGGCCGAGGGGTCGAGTTCGTACTGGGCTCGACAGAAAGGGGTCAGAATGCCCTATGGATGCACGATTTCGACCATTGCAGCTTTATTGGCTTGGATATTGCCGGAGTCTAGAAGGCTTTTCGTGCTTTTCGACTCAACGCTCCTTTTTTGCCCCGACAGACGGTATCTAGTCCTCGCGGCCAGCAGAATCTGGATATCTTTGTATATCACTACCAAAGGACGTCCGATACGATTCTGCGGAAGAAAAAGGCTTCCGTCCAGAGGCTTCCATCCATGTTTATCCAACTCGTGGAAACCGGACAGTTGGCCACATCATGTTAAGAAATGACTCTGAGCAGACCAATATTCCAGACTCGCAACAATGCCACCCCATCGCCGTCGGAACCGAACCTCCTCCTCCTCGACCGGCCCAGGCCTCCCCCTCTACAATGTGCCAGCTCCCGCACCCCCTACTCCCGCGCCACCAGCTCCCACTGCCCCCCCTGCGCCGAGCCCGAATGTGGCTCCTGGCTCGCTGCCGCTGACCCTAATTCAACAAATGGTTGATATTCTCTATGCTATGGCTGGGCTAAGGCCTCTTAGCACCGATCCTCGCATTGTTTAGCAATAAGCATCTTCTTTAAGTTTTTAAACATTTACCCATATTAACCAAGTATAGATTGAGAAGGATTAGTGGTGAGATGGACTTGAGCACAATAACCAGCACTAGCATCTGCTGTGGCTATCCGCATCAGGGACATCAAGCACCGCGCTTAGATCGAGACGCTCGTTGTCGCGACACGCACTGAGGACAAGGAACTCCCTGATGGCCAGAGGCCCAGCCAGCACCCATCCTGCCGAAAGTTCAAAGAGTGCTCTGGACAAGTCTTCCAAACATCACCTCAACCTGCCGTCTCTACATCAACAGCTGCGCTAGAGTTCGAAGAATTCTCTTACTGGTGATGATGTTTCTGACACTGAACGCCTTGCGTTACGGACATTTCCCCCCTGAAGGAGGAAGAGCCTTAGTTCGGCTATTACATCGGTGGTCTCAAGAAAACTCCCTTCGACGACTCCAACCCCGAAGCAACTCAGTACAGGACCGCACTCGAGTGCCCTCCTAATACGCTGACCCTACCAGAGCCAAACATTAAAGCTGCTCTGAACCGCCTAAAGCTCATAAGAAAGACGGCAGCAACGATAAGCTACCAGGTTTACCAGCGCGTGCTTTATGCATGGATCGCACTTTGGACAAGCAAAGCATGAAAGTGGTATATTGGCAGAGTTTTTCTTTTGCTTGGGTGGTTTTTCGGTTGTACTTTTGTGTTTTATGTTTTTTCCTAGAGTGGTGTGGATAATCGAGTCTTTGAAGTGTATCAATTCTGTGCTTTGCATGAACACCCGTGAACAAGACATCACTCGAATCAATAACTAGCAACTAATGACCTTGATCACCAAGAGCCTCACCGATCCTTTCCATGAACATGCCCCAAAAGTGAGACATTTCGGACAGGCACATGTGTTCTGTCATCACCGCCTTGGTTCATGGTGACCTCGGGCATTCAATGAGACATGTTGTATCCCTTGCGTGTCTCAGGCCCATGCTCATCCCAATGACGGCGCACACCGCTCTATTTTTGACTCAAACAGGAATCTAGAGGATTCGCCGCTATTCATCTCAAGGTTGCCACCATTCTTTGCCGAGATCGAGCCGCTAGATTCCATGTTCTAGTGGCCTGACAATCATTGCATATCGAATTCCAACTGTGCATCAATGTTTAAGGCGGTTTCAAAGTGTAATCACGTGAAAAAAGCAGATGCAGGGTCAATTCAAGGTATTTCATTGAATGTCTAATGCGGCTGCAGATATGCGTCATGCTGCAGGCATGCTCAATTGTGCTGAGGCTTGTGTGCTATGTCCAAGTGCGCACCTTCATCCCTCCCCTTCTTTGGGTATTAGTCGTTAAAAAATGAATGTCATGGAGATCGTAGATCATATCCGTCCGTCGTCACGGTCTAGTCATGGATGAAGAGTGTTGTCGTTTCCCAAAAAAGTATGCCCAGATCCAACGCCTTGTACTTGCTCTGCAAGATTAAAAAAGTGATGCCCAAAAATCATGATGAAGAAGAGAAAAAGAAGATCTTTGCGAGGTTGAGTGCAGGCTTCCCTTACAGGACGGCGCTGATCTCGAGGATGGGGGCCTTGAAGGTGGTCTTCTCGCAGGTGATCTTCTTGTTGGAGTAGGTCTTGGAGCCACTGTTGTAGTTGGGGTTCTTCCAGTTCTTCTCCTTGCACTCGAGCTTGACGTTGGTGTTACCCTTGGCCTCGAAGCGGCCTCCCTCCTTGAGGCAGCTCCAGGACTGGACGATGGAGAGCTTGCCCGACTTGCGGTCAAAGGTGAAGGAGGCGGCGTCGCCCTTGAGGGGAACGTCGCAGTTGTAGTCGGTGCTGCCGTAGAAGAAGTCGTTGGGCTTATCAGAGGTGGCAGTGCACTTGGCCTTGTAGTTGAGGACCTTGTTCTCGAGGAGGAAGCTCACGCTGCCGCTGGCGGTCTGCTTCTTGGGGGTGGTCTTTGTGATTGTGGCGTGAAAGTCAAAGTCGTTGACGGTCCACTCGGTGACCTTGGTGCCCCTTGCCATGCAAGACTCGCTCTCGGCGCGGGAGGTGAGAGAGACTGTGGGGAGGGCCATGGCAGAGGTGGCCAGGACGAGGAGAGTGGTGAAGAACTGCATTTTGGTGGTGACGTGTGAGAATTGTGAGGAGAAGAGTGTTGTTGGGTTGTTTATAAGGTTGAGAAGGGCGAGGAGGTTGGTTATTTATGTGTCCGAGAGAGAGACTGGGCTGAGTGGGGTTGCTGAGGAGATGTTGATCTTTTGTCTTGGGGTGTAGATCGATGATGATGTTGTTGGTGATGAAGGTATAAGAATGTGTCGACAACGGCGGGCCGTCCCTTCTTTATACTCGAATCTAGACCGATAACTCGTTCAACATGTCGTTGACTGCATTCACAGCATTCTCCAGCTACAGAGCCAGAGAATGGAGTGTCAAGTGACGTAGCACACATCTCGTATTCCCGCAATCCGCGGGAAGCTTGGGCTCCAAATCCGGGACCCAGGCCCGTAAGTGGGGCCGTTGACTGCCTGCTGGCCCTCTCAGCTCGGCAGTGAGCAGGGCACACATCCCAAAATAGGACCCCAGCCAAGGGTAAAATAGCAGGGGTTGGTTGTTGGATGGCGAAAAGAATATGCATGACATTTAGTTTCCCTGTCCAACAAGATGCTCATACCACGTTGTATTCTTTTTTGGGACAGAGAAAAGATGCTGGCATTGGTTAGACGCACAGTGTTAATTCTCACTGTATTACCTTGCTGGAATCCCATACCGAATAGCAAATATCGACACCCGAAATAGCCCAACCGCTTAGACCGAAGCCTCTGTATTCCAGCGACCAACTGCCCCGCCCGAAGTGACCAATCCACACTGTAGATTCGTCCTTCCAAAAAGAACAACTCATCAGTCTCTGCCTCTCCGTCCTTGACCTGCATCCAACAGTTTTCCTCTCAAGATGCAGGCATCAGTAGCATTCCGTCTTGTCCTCGGCTATTGTTGTCAACCAAGACGGATTCCCACAGCCTCTTCCTGAGTTATGCTCACGGGTCAATGCCGCTCCGTCTCCGCTTGCCGCGTGCATCATGGTTGGACCAGCACATCAGCTATCCAAGCTGGGGCCTCATGTCCATCACCACCGACGGGACCTTTTTTCAACTCGGCGACACCACGATGGACTATCGACGGTGAAGTGGATCGGATCACCTGAAATTCTCCGTCCCGCCCTGTCCTCCCCGCACGCTACTGTCCCCTGGGGGGCTGGCCAAGGCGGCACGTCGGAGGATCGACCACTACACTTGGCACGAACGACCGTCGGCCGACGCTTGCGTCCAACACTTCAAACTCTCCGGCAGGCGGGACAGTCGACATCAGGCGGTCGATGCATGGGAGTTTCTAGCATTGCCACCATGTCGGTCAAGAAGACGGTACACCACCCGTGAAGCCATTGGTGATGCAGTGAAACCAACAAAGAGGAATGATTACACAGCTGCTGGGGCGGCGACGCCTACATGCATGCAAGTCTACTCTACCGCATGCACCGTTTTTTTCGGGCCACCGGTAGCACCATTAAATTAATTGCCTCGTGGCCAGGTGATCCTCGGCTGGACCGTGTCTCGCCCTGGCAGATTGGTTCTGGACTCTGGCGCACGGGAAGAAGGGTCGAGGAATATTGAGGAGGCTGGGGGGCCTTCCATGCAGCGACTTGCCCACATTCTACATACAGTTACAGCTACAGCTACCGTGCGTCGCGCATCTGAGAGGATCCCGGCCACATCTCGCAAGTCCCATCTTTGGGCGATCGACGAGTCCACTCTTCCGCATAAACGAGGGTGCAAACCGAACGATTTCACCTGCCCGTAGGGTCTTCTGAGCTCTCATTGAACACTGAAGAAGGAGTAGGAAGCTCAGCCTTTGTTTCAGCTTTTCTTGCTGCTGACCCAACAGACGTCATGCTTCGGGGTCGGCCGAGCCGGGACAATCGCAGCGATTGACTTGTTCTTCTCAGGCGTACGAGCCACTTCACATGGTGGCGTATCACAATGCCGAGACAAACGACGTCTATTTTGGATACTCCTCCGTCAAGGTCACCGCCTGCAATCGACTTCAGCAAACAGCAAACGCATATCCGGGAGAGCGGTCTGCGAGCGGCCGGCTGCCTGCTTGCTTGCTCAATGACACGGCCGCCATGGGCGATGGCATTGGCCGTCAGTGGACCTATCGACTCTGTGTCACCCCGCGAGCCCGCAGGGTCTGTCCCCGCTGCCGGTCGTAAATCACTTGCATCGTCGTGCTATGTTGCTAAACCTGGCATCGAACCATGTCCGCAGCTCTCGTCAGAATCACTTGCCGGAGCAACAGGCCAAGAGTTCCCTGGTGGAGTTTGCTGTTGGTCTCTTTGTGGTATCGATGGCCCTTTTGCGAGCGCACTTTTGTGAATGCTGTCAAATCCTCGCAGATCCTCCACCTGCCGCAGCGGAGCCACGTCTATGTGTAACATCAGCCTCACCGCGGGAGGATAAGGTCCTCGTACCGGGTGGACCTCCCGGCTGGTGAGGTCGGGAATGGCTTGTAAGTTACCGATGCCGGAGCCCATGACAACATGCCTGATGCCGCTGCTAACGCAGGTCAAGTGGTCTTTGTACCATGGGAACTCGGTGGTGTGCCTCACCGAAAGTCAGGTACCCGGCGGTGACTGACCTTGATGCCTATGCAGTGAACACCTGCAGTAGATCAAGATTGACGACGTCAGTGTCGGTGTGTAGTATCACAACTCGTCTACGGATGATGGCATCAAAACCCTCGCCAATATTATATTTAGTGACAAGGTGATTCTGGCCAGCCAAGCACTGTCGTAATTGTCATCTTTGAGAATCTATTCGCTTCTATTGCAAACATGCCTCGAAACGGCAATCGGTTCGGCTTGCTGCGTGTCGAGTACAGACCCAACAGATGACGTTTTCCGAGGTCCAAGTTTTGTAGACTTGACGAGTACGTTGCGTCCGATTCTGATTGTTTGCAGAGTTCCGGGCCTTTTATATATCATGTTTAACATGGCGATTTGCCACGTCCTGTTGGACGTGACTCGCCTCGGGGACAGCAAGTTGCAACTGTGTGCCGCAACACCTTCGCACTTGAGCTACTTTCTTGATTGCTGTTTGTTTCTTGGGTACAGCTTAGGAGAACATGGTGCCATATGACGAGCACATGCTACCCTTGATGGTACGAAGCTGCCACGTGGGATAGTCAAAGAATCATTCCGTCAAGCAGAGTTGTAGGTATCAACATCCGGGAGCACAATAATAGGAAAATGCCATTCTTACAACACCTCGCCAGGCTCAATCGACCACATCCTCTCACGTGCTCTTGCCCACTATGAAAACCTCGAGTACGCTCCTGACTCCCCAGTAGTTGGGGCAAGGGTAATAAGTCAGTGCATCGAGAAGCTTCTCTTTGTGAGTTGAAGACAAGCTGCTAGCGTACTTCCATCCTCTCCTAGTCTTCTCTGGCGAACATGCTGGGATCTGAATGATGCCAGGCGTTCTGATGTCATTCTCTTCGGGTCATCGCTGACCCTCCACGTTGCGGGGATCAGGATCGCGAGCAAGACTTTGACGATTTGAGTCTGCAGCTCGGGCATTGAGACTGTGGTGTTCTTTTTGTTGAACTTGCCCTCAGCTATCCTGTCACCGAGGTATTTGACCGAGTTATCGTCACCCCAAAGCACTTGTTTCATGAACTTGGTTGTCGCGGTCGTCAAGATAAGCGAGAGATCGCCGAGAGTGCCGGCAACCTTGGCCGAGTCTGACAGTCTCTTGCTGTTGGATGTCAGAGTGATGCAATCTTACTATGAATTGACGATACTCTACCTGTTTTGAGCATTCTTGGTAGTTGTTGCTACCCAAGATGCCGAGTTGGCAATGAGATGCTTCAGATCATCCGCAGGGGGGTGCGCCGTCTCGTAGTACTGTGAAACTTCAGCAACAGAGAGATACCTATTCTACCACATTATTTGTGTAAAACGTACCCTTATTGAACTGGGTCGAATTGCCTACCTAACTTGCGGTACAAATATCTCTATCAATAACTCTAATTTTGGCTGTATCCCGTTCTCGGCCAGTGGGACTGCCATGTAGCTACAGCGCAGCAGATGTGAGCATAGACTTGACTACTTGCAAGACAATGCTTGCTTACCGGATGCAACGAGTTGAGAGAAGTGAAGATGAAATACCCAGCAGGCCCTGCATCTTGGGGTCTGGAGGACTTTTCGACTTGCCCACACCCGTTTACGCTGCGAAACCTCGGCACAATCGAAGCTCTCCGGCCCGTCCAGCGGCATCAATGCGGATCTGCTAAATGCACTTGGATACTCATTCGCATCTAGGCTCTTACAGTCCCTCTCCTTCAACCAATCCTGGACCATGTCCCTCCAGGCGCAAGGGGCCTATAGCTTGTTCCACTGCTCAGCAGGTTCCATGAATAATTTGATTGGGGCCTTGTTTGGTCATCCACGCTCCCGGTAGAAGTGTGACATGATTCAATCAGATGATTCTGGCAACATGTCAATTTCTTGTGGAGATTAAATACATTCTGGCGCGTCACAGGACGCAAAACCCCAAGACAAAGGTTCCGAGAACTACTAAAAAGGCCGTCGAGTGCGATAGAACATTTGCCGCATCCTCCTCGGCTGACTCGGGATACAGGAAGCTGCATGACTCTGGGCCATGGAGGTTCTCTTCATCTGGCCAAGACTGGTTGGTTGGACATGAAGCAGTCTCGAGCATCTTGGCGGTAACGAGTGACTCCAATTTGGACCCGGTATCAATCTTACACGGGTCTCCAGATCCCTCCTGGTCAGTCAACACCACGCAGCTGTTCGAGTATCGATATCTCTTGACATCCTCAGGGGTTATCTTATTCTCCAAGAATCTAAGATGCAGGACTTCGAGAGGACACGGCTTTCCAGGGTTTGCGGCCATGTTGGGTAAAGAACCACTTGGGGAGCTGGAAAAGTTCATGTGGCCGACTCTCGAGAAGCTTTTACCATACTCTTCAGGATCACAGTCATCAGAGACCTCCAATCGCCAATCAAATAACCATTCCGTAGAAGTCGAGTTGGCAAGCAGGTCTGTACCGACAATAAAGTAATACGGCTCTTCAGCCAATTCGAGTTGGCCCTCGGTGAAGAAGGTCTTCTCCGGAAGCTCGCCCGAGGCCATGGGCCGGTCGTCGACATGGATGGGCCCGCTGTGGTTGCCCTCGAGCCCCCACGTGAATCTGAACTGGTAAGGCCAGGCCTCGGCCGCCCCGGTGATGGCAAAGACAACGGGGAAGGGGTAGACCGGACGGTATGTCTCGTTGGGCCGTGGGAAGACGAGGTTCACCCCGAGATCAAAGGGAAACTCTGATGATTCCCCCTTCTGCATGCCAAGGGAGGCAATCGGCCCAAAAGATGCCCTGCTCGTGGCTGTCAGAAGAATCAAAGTCAGATTAGGTAGAGCCTGATGCACCACTAAGGGGGAGACACTTACAAGAGGACGCTAGAGAACTTCATTTACCGCGTTTTTCTTGACTCAATTGTATTCGCATCTAGGGATAGGCTCCTCAAATCGGTGTGGAGAATCTGGGGTCGGATGATGTAGGTGAAAAAAAAGAGAGTGCAGGACGGTGACTTTATCTGCATTCCCATCCGGGACCTGCGTACGCTAGGGGTTTCGGGCCGGGCCATGTCACGATGTTGGTCCAGGGTTTTGATGAAGTGGTCTGCGGCGTAGGGCTTGGCTATTTTAACCACCGCCCAATTGGATATCGGAAATAAAACGGCATGATAGATGACCAGATGGAGAGTCCATCTACTTTGATGTAGCTTTGACATGGGGCTGCAGGAAGCGAGGAACAGGCCGAACACCCGGGGCCAAGAAGAGCATGCATACGGCTTGGCATGGCATGGTTGGGACCTGGTGATCAAATGCTCGAACCAGCAGACCAAGATACTACTTTCCAGATACATGACAGTAAATTTTGAAGTGCCGCTTTGCTTCCAGTGGTTCGTTACCTGCTCTGTCTGGCTGTAGTTGAAATGAACTCGTGGTGTTGCCATCTGATGAGCGCAAATGATGGGATGAGCGTTGCCCAAGCGACTACGCAACTCTGGTTGGCGGGAACTCGCAGTGTAACTTTGCTACTAGCTTCTTTGACCTCACTTGAGCGATCCAGGAGAGAGAAATGACTGCAAGAGCCTGTAGGCGGGCCATTAGGTATGCGTTGGGGTTTAGCCTTCTATTCTAGGAATTGTTAATATTTGGCCATTTCTTTTGACTGCCTATTTGGAGATCTAATGAGTGTACTGTCCTCGAAGCCATTGTGATCCTTAGGCATACTTCGAGATCCCTTCCCAATTTGAGTCTGTCAACTCAAAGTTGTCGATAAGATTCTTTTCATTAACAGTATTTCGTAACGATTACAAGCCGAACCTCACCTGGCCACTCTGTAAATCGTACCTAGAAACCCAAATTCGCTGTCAGCACCTAATCTTGCTCCGCCACTTGGGAGACGTAACAACCTCCTTTGGGAGACTGGGGGTAAGAGAACTTGGGGTGTCTCGGGGGCCTAAAAACCCCGAAGTTGACTTATACTGGGGGCTTCACTTTATACCCTGGAAGTGTTCAGCGACATCTTTTAGATTTCATAAAAATCATACTAGCAAATGGCTAATGCATGGCAGCTATTCCACAAAGTCAGAGGTGACTGGAGGATACACCATCAATCCCCGACTCCCAATCACCTACTTTAAGGCAGCCTCTTTCCTTCTCTTGTGGCCTGACCTACAAGAGAATTGGTAGTATCATCAGCATATCTCTTGTAAGCAATGATGTACCGCTCGTCAGCGCTCCATGTTTCCTTGACGCTCTTGCGATCAAGGATGGCATCGCTCCACTTTCTCCATCTCGCCCAGGTACCCTCATCATCTCCACCACCAGACTGAGGAATTCCGTGTCCGCCATTCTTGTAGTGATCGATCAGGAACAGGCGTTTAACCCAAGGCGCCAGGCAAATATCCACGAGACTCAAGTTGTCGCCCAAGAACCAGGGTCCTTTGGCATCCATTTCCTTGACTAAGGTTTTAATGTGGCCATGGAGCTCCTCTCGTGCTTGATCCAGACTGTAGGGCTTTTCAGGAGTGTGCTGGAGCAGCTTGTAGAAAGCAGGGATGATTCGTGAGCTGATGTGATCGATCCAGAGTCTGCATCGTGCCCTCTCATAAGGATCAGAGGGGAGCAGCCGCGGACCGTAGGTGGCCTCATCTGCATAAGCCTCGTCCAGGTACTCGCAAACGATGTTGCTCTCAAACAAGGGCTTCTGCACCTCGCCTTTGGTGCCGACGGGTACAGCCAGAGTTGGTACAAGACCACGAGGGTTCATTGCGAGGAAGGATGCCTCCTTCTTGTACGGGTTGATCTCGATGTATTGATGCGGTACGTTTTTCTCGTGCAGGGTGATCCATGATCGCTGCACAAAAGGGCAGAACCAGCCGCCGTAGAGCTTCAGCGGGTGCTCTTCTGAGTGACGGGCAGCGAACTCGGCCGCAGCCCCCGAGGGCTCAGCGGGGAGCGAGGTATCAACGTTGGTCATGGTGCGCTTAAAAGTTTGGCTTGAGAGGATCAAAGGTCTTGAAGACGGAAAAAGTCTTGGGCGGACCAAGGTGTAGAATAGCATGAAGAGTTGGTCAACTCGAGGTTGGATGAATGACGTGAGTATGCGGCGGCGGGTGCAGAGTGCGGAGAAAGGGACATCCGATCAAGGTGCATAACATATTCAGTTACTGGAAACGGATTTCATATAGCATTTAAATCCCTGGCAACCTTCAATTTACACTATTCACCCATAAACATTAACTTCTTTTGAGTTGGAACACCTGGGCTGGTTCAATTACCATCAAGATGACATGAGCTGTCCTGGCAGCCAGCTTCGAATCACTCGCACTGTACTCAGCCATATTCCCACCTTGATACAGTGCTAGAAATCCAGACTAACTGTACGTGATCACGGGACTGCGATTTCGTTGTCGCCTCGTCGCAACTCCCAGCTTCATTTTATCAATTGCTCAACATTCTTTGCCCATAATGTCCGACCAAGGCTCATCGCGGTTCACGCCGCAGAACAAGACGACTCATGAACGATTATCCACACATACGGTCGGCCTGGTCGCCCTCTCCGACTTTCGCAAGCGCCGCGCCGAGGTCCTCGAGCAGCAGGAGCGCGAAGCCCACGAGGCCGCGTTCTCAGGCACGTCCACACCGGATCGCTCCCTGACAGGCACTCCTGACAACGGTGGCAGTGACACGGGAAGCGGCCCACGTCCCGTGAAGAAGCAGAAGAAGAAGAAGCTGGGCAAGAAGCTACTCTCGTTCGATGACGAAGAAGGCGACGAAGAAGCGGCCCCGTCGAAGCCAACACCAAAGGCGAAGAAGGATAGCGCAATCGATACCGAAGGGAGCGATAGCGATGTGAAGGCGAAATTCAAGGCCAATGCCTCGGTAGGCATTGTCCCCAAGGCCATGACCAAGAGCGCACTCCGCAAAGAAGCTGCCGAGCGCGAAGCCCTTCGTCGCGAGTTCTTGGCCATCCAAGAAGCTGTCAAGGCAACCGAAATCGCGATACCCTTCGTCTTCTATGACGGCTCCAACATACCCGGCGGTACTGTCCGTGTTAAGAAAGGCGACTACGTCTGGGTATTTCTGGACAAGAGTCGCAAGGTTGGCGCTGAGCTTGGGGTGGGAGAAAAAGCCAATGCCCGAAGAGAGTGGGCAAGAGTTGGCGTGGACGATCTCATGCTTGTCCGCGGAACAGTCATTATACCACATGTAAGTTGTCTGGGCCATTTGTCTTTGAATGTGTCTAATTGTTTGTCCAGCACTATGACTTCTATTTCTTTGCCATGAACAAAACCCTCGGCCCCGGCGGTCAGCCTGTATTCGACTACAGCGCAGAGGCCCCTCAAAAACCCGAATTCACCGATGACGCGAAACCCAGCGATCCCCTCGTCACGCCTGCCTCCAAGGTAGCTACCGCGAAGGCTCTTCCAGATGTCGACACTCTCGAGGGCGCTACCGATGATCCGTCTCTGACCAAGGTTGTTGATCGGCGGTGGTACGAGAAGAACAAGCATATCTTCCCTGCAAGTATGTGGCAGGAGTTTGACCCGGAGAAGGACTACGGGAGGGAGGTGCGCAAGGACGCAGGTGGGAATACCTTTTTCTTCTCGCGCTGATATGGTCGGATTGGTGGTTATGGAATGTCGACATCGTCTCGAAGGGGTGGGTATGGTTTGACGACGGATTATGCACCGGTGGGTCACGTATCGAATTGGTTCAAAGTTCACAAGCGAACTCGAACAAGGACAAGACGAGCTCAGCCGAAGAGCATCCAAACAGCCCAGCATGCGCCTGCGAGCAGCCACCACCCAGGCCAGAAGAGCATGAGGAAGAGCATGTTGCCGCTTCCGAGAACGAATACGGCGAATTCGTACCAGAGCTTCTTTCGCAGCCTCTGGATGCTTTTCGAGTTCCACACACTAACGACTGCTTTGCTCGACATGTTGAAGCCGTGGGATGCACTAAATTTTGTTGCAACACAAGCCTTCAGGGCCACGATTCTGCTCGCATAGAAGACACCGGCGAAGGTGGTACTCGTGAGAAGCCATGCGCGGAGGCAAAGGAAGATGGAGACGGAACTGACGAGGCTCTGGAACCGAAGCGCAATTTCTAGAGCCGGGCCAAGCAACCTGATGATATCGGAGCGGGGATGGGCGGAAACGGAGAGCTCCACCCTGGAAGCAGTCAAGAGGGTCGCCTTGTCCATGATGATGCAAATGGAGTTGGTTGCTGCAGAGATTCGGCAAGGAAACAGCAACTGAATCAATACAGAGAAGGTCTTCGAAGAGCAGAGAAGTTCGAAGAATGAGAGAGAATATTCTTGGCCCCCCAAGCAAGCCCCCACCACAAGCGTCGTCCCGAGGTGTTTGGTGTTTATATCTCAACTCGCCTTGTTCCCAACCCCCACCTCCGGTCGCCCAAAGCAGTCAACTCACGACTTCTGGGCGGCAAACGCGAGATAGTCTTGTCCAGAATAGTCACGAATCGAGTTTCTACACGCACATTCGCATTCCGTCACACTTGACTCGCCGAGAACGAGCTTCGAGGCTCTCAAGGACCCGCCTCAAACCCCTCATCTCGCTCCCGATGGAGGTTCCACTCGGCGACCCACGCCGACACGTGGGGCCGCTGATTCGTTGCTCGGGAGGATTTTAACGATGCGATACGTGACGGACGCGACATTCAAGGTAGCAATCGGCCGGATTGCGGTTGGGCTATGGGCGTGGGGAGAGTGGGCGGCCGTGCCTTGTTTGGGCATGAGGCCTGTCAGATCAAAGGCTCGTGATAGTCACGCCCCGGAGGATCAATCAGCGCTACGACACACGTGGGAGCAGTGGTTTCTCTCCAGAGAGCGACTTGGAGAGCCTCTAAAGCTTAATGAGTTTTGTGTGAGTGGAAACCGAGCTCGCCCACTGTTCTAGAGTCTGGAGACGGACACGGACACGGATCGAGTTCCAATGGCCGACTCCACGTGGCCCGGCCGCTGTCGTTCGCTGGGATTGTCGGGCACGAAACTCCCGAGACGGATCCGCTTTCTTCTGGAGGGAATTTGTGGGCTGATGGCTCCGGCACGGACTTGTCGGCTATCGTGATCGGACGGCGGCCGAGATTATCGAGATGAGGTTTGAGGCTTGTCGAGGCTCGTGTAATGCGGCATTTAGAACGACAAACGTCTTTTGCGGCTTATCTTCTTCTCTCATTTTTTATGTCTCTTGATATCTATTTCAGGGTTGACCGCCAGTGTTGACAGACTCCTTTCACGGCAAACATGAACAAGAGGCGAGTTGCTGATGATGAGGGAACATCAACATGATCCATCACAATCACAAGTCGGCTCCACTTGAATTGCCCTCAGCCAAGGGAACCACTCGGCAACACGTCCCGGGTTTCCTTCGGCATTGACTACATCTCTGGTGACAGTCTCGCGCACGTATTCGTCTTTTCATGCGCCATTTCATGAGCCCGACGCAGTCATTGAAGCTGATGAGATGCTTGTCTGGCGCTCGCTCTGCGCTACAAGGGACGTTATATCGACATGGCTCTGCGCACAACGGCTGCAGATAAATCTGGTACAGCAGGACTACGTTTAACATTAGTCGCAAATGACTGACGCCAGGGATGACTCCTTGTTGGCCTCCGACAGCGCTGTCAACACGACTGAAGCCAGATTCTGCAGCCAATCAGACTTCTCCAAATACCGCGAGGGCTCGGTTCTGTGTCCCGAGTCTTCTGCGATGCGCAGAACCTTGACTCATGTGAGGAAGCTTTTCCCGGCAAAACTCTTCTCGCTGGACAGTTTGAAGAGTGTGGTGACTTGACGTAACAAGTCCTTTTCTACAGTGCTGGCTCACAAGGTCAGAATGAAAACCTCAGAGTCCAGATACATCTTCCTGGCAAAGACAAGCTGCAGGTTGCAAGTGCACTGCTTGACGAATGCGAGCTCCCAGCAGGACCTTTTACGCCTGGCTTGCAACCTATGTTGAATGATGTCAACATGGATGCAGCCACTGCTTTATGGTTCATGTGTCAGATAGGGATGACTCTTTCTTGCTGCATCAAACTTAATCTTGACTAATATAAGACGGCGACCAGATCTATTCCAGCCCAACTCTCTCGCTTTCAGTCTTTGCCATCGACGATCTATCCCCTGCAGCGCCAGCAAATCACGGTTAACAATGCTCCATCAACCCATCAACTCGCTCGCCTTGTGGGAACGTCTACCCAGCGAGTTGAAATTTATGATTGTTGGGTACGCGGTAGAATCATTCAAACAAATCCAGTCACCCAAGTTGTCAGCATGTGCCGCCGTCTGTCGAGAATGGCAGCATCTCTTCGAAACAGAAACATTTAGCGACCTAACTCTCCACCAATCCGACGTTTCCGAGTTCGGTGCTCTCGTTCAAGGCCGCCGGAAATCGCTCCTACGATGGCTGTGGCTTCGTCTAGAGCTCACAGAATACGATTGCGAGGAATGTCGTGTAGGCGAAACGATTGCTGAGGACAGGACCAACAAGTTCATCTTGACCAACGCTGTCTGGGAGCTCTTTGACATCTTATCCTCCTGGAAAAAGAAGGATTCCGTTACTACAACGAGACAAGGCTTTACTTTCGAGATCAGTGCACATTCTCCAAGCGACGTTCGTCACAGGGGGCCGAACATGCAGAGGAGAATTAATGACAAGGGCTGGATGGGGGTAAAAGACCCTGAAAAGCTCATTCAACGCAATACGAAGATCGCTGATGATGAACCTCGCAAATGCACCTCACACCACAAGTCGAGACCGTTCGGAGAACCCACAGGGCTCCGGTTCGACATGCGCGCGCAACCAGTCAAGCGGTTAAAGACATTGCCTCGCGTCAGGGCCGTTGACACGTTTGTTATTCGACGGCAATGTCTTCGATACTTTTCAGTTCCAAAAACTCTACAGCCAATCATACAGAGCTTGACCCAACTCAAGCATCTCCGTTATGAGCACT